CCGACAATAGTTCGAAACGTCATGATGTTCAATCCGGACAAGTGAGCTGATATGTTAGAACAAGCAAAGCCAGCGGAAGCTGCAACATCACGACAACGTCGTACCAATTTTACATCATCATCCTCATTTAACTGCTGTAATTGTGGTGGTCGAGGACATTATGCATATCAATGCCTAAGTTATTTAAACGACTGATGGTGTCGCATGATGGTAACACCACCAAGCAATATTGGAAACCATCAAAATTAATTTATATCAACGTGCTCGTAAATAATGTGAAAACAAGAACGATGGTGTTCAACAATATCAGCTGTTAGTTCATCATACATCAACAAAATACAAGCCCACAACGATATCCAACCGGTGATAACTACATGCAGAACTGCAAACAACGGCAATTTGCATGTTAAAGGGGTGGTGGTATTACACATATTAACTAACAAAATTAAAACAACAATTAATCCATGTATCATTGAAGATTTATGTACGGATGTATTACTAGGTGGTGATTTTTACAAGAAATATAAAACTGATATTAGTTACTATTTTAAGAATTTAACAGTCAGACCATCACAACAACCAAAAAAAAGAATTAAATTTGAAGAGCATAAAAATACATCACGACTATTTTATATTAAAACATTCGACGATACAATTATACCACTATTGTCATCAAGAGCTATGCAAGCAATAACGACAGCATCACACATGACCACAGCGGTTTTCACACCATCAGTATCAATATGGAACTATCCCACAATTAAAATTTGTTGGACATAATCGGATACAATTAAAAGGTAGTAGCTTCTTATTAGATTATGACCAAGGCACAACCAAAACCGTTTTTACACACATTTTTCGTAGACGTTGTTTTCTTGTTTTGTTTTTTTGGGATGAGCGTCCGCTTCATCTTGTACCTTGTGAGGTGTGTTAGGAGGTGTCATGTAATAGTTCTTTTCTTATGTGAGATAGTTTACAGTATTCGATTTTGTTCAAATCACATGTTATGATATGATGACGTATGAGGATGATGATGTAAAATTGGTACGACGTTGTCGTGATGTTGCAGCTTCCGCTGGCTTTGCTTGTTCTAACATATCAGCTCACTTGTCCGGATTGAACATCATGACGTTTCGAACTATTGTCGG